CCCTCCAATTGCATTTGGAAAGACTACCTACCGACAATGCGAAATTAACTACTTTCTCTAAAATGAGTAACTTATTTTGATCGTACAGTCGACTAATGCTATCCCCTGAATATGATAATGAGTGTCATGCACGGTTTTATGGAATTTGGTTGGCATCCTAGGAAGGACGAAATCTCAATTTTCAGCCACGTGGGAATAAGGAAGGAACTGTAACTCACCACCAATGAGAGATGCATGAAAATGATCAAGTAAAAGGTAGAAACAGTGATCACTGCATCATGTTTTGTGACGTCAAGCAACCTACTCACTGTTGGACTGTAATTTCATGGCAAGTGTTAGAAAGTGTTGGTTCGTAACGCCTACTTCAATGAGCATGTGGTCTAATTTTAAATACCGTCGAAGTTAGGTACTTATAGAGCGATAATTTGATTTTGCTCCTTGCTTTATTGGCATACTTTAAAGAAAATCTGGTTTGCACACAGCCACATGTGTGATTTCGTAAGATGATTTTCATTTAATATATAAGACCCAAAAAAACGAGGTTGTTGCCAATACATCTTCATGAAGACAACATCTACCTCACATTTTACTTTAACTTTACTATCTTGTTGAACAACAATTAAACCTGGGGAAAGAATTATAATTACGTCAGTGCTAAAAGATATAAATAGGATAAGAGGGCATTCAAAAGGTATTAAGACTCTTGATTGAGTAAACATTGTTATTGAGAAGTAAACATGCTCATTTGAGAACCTTGCCTTGTAAATCCGTTTGCTCAACCTCTGTTAATTGCTCCACAGACCCGGGAGGAGGGGGGGGGCAAATTCACGTCCAACATACTCAGAGTTCATTTACCTATTACTTTATCTCTGTGATTGCTAATTCCACTTTGACTTATTTCAATCCAAATACACTTATAAGCTCGTAAATGAGACTAGAGACGAGTTCTCAAGAATATCAGCACCCATTGCAGTCCATTCAAGATGAACTGCAATACTAAACTGAGAGGGGAAAAGAGATATCCCAACTAGCGAATGCATTTCATGCTGAATAACAAGAGGTGATGATCCAAAAAGGGTTAGGATTGAGTCGAGTTACTTAAAAATAGGAACTTAATTAGAGCGGTGAAGGGGTTCTACTAAATTTTATAGCAGCGCCATAATCCAATGCCATGTCTATGACAAATGTATTATTATTATTATTATTATTATTATTATTATTATTATTTGCTTTCAATCCCAAGTTTTAAAAAGAAAGTTGTGGTATGCGCGAGGTTTTAATTTATTCAACTAAGTGTTTGACTTGTTACGCCTTCTGTAAAACAGCATGTAAGCGCACTCATGACCCTGGAAGACATTCTTAAAATTCTCGCTACTAATTTCAGTAACCACATCATCATTGAAATCAAACCACTTTCCGTACACAATCTGTTCGGCATTTCCTTTTATGCCTATCTTCGCATTGAGTTCTTTCCCATTATTTGGATTCGCGTAATCCATAGCATTATTCAGGTCTTCTTGAAACTCAAGCGAGTCCTCAATCTCCAGGGTTGATGAATGATTGGTTGACTTATCATCCTCTTTCAAGGTATCTGCTGATCCTCTGACACGATCAGAGGTAGATGACTTTGTTGGTGTTGACGTCTGTCGAAATAATCGTGGACGCCATTTTTCCACTTGGTCGAAACTCAAGGACTGGGACTCTTTGAAGTTATTTGAACGTAGCGTACCACTTCTCCTACTCGTTCTGACTCTTCCTTTCACTGAAGAAGAAGAAGAATTGAAAGCATCTTCTTCTACTTCACTGGTCCTTCTTGATGTGCTCTCAGAACCTCCAAATATAACTTCATTAAAGTGATGTTGGTTGCTCTTTATTTCAGTATAGTTGTCGGTAGAACTAGCAGAACGTCCATCAGATTTGAGATTTGTTCTCATGACGCTTATAAAGCGTCTATAAGCGCTAGATTTTCTTTTATTCCATTGGTCACAGAGTTCTGATTGGCCATTATTTAGCGCTTCGCTGAAATATTTATTTAAAGGTAGGGGTTATTGTAAGCCCAACAGTACATAAGCAATCTTTATTCCTATTTGAGTCACTCACACCACTTTGCGTCACAAATTATCATAGTTAAACTCCGCCAGAATCTTATGAAATGGTTGGCTTTAATGTCGCACAAATCAACTCACTGACGTCTATACACAGATTTGTTTAGTACAATTGTCGTCATTATCACATACTAGCGCCTGAGTAGACAAAGGAAAAATTAAATTCGTATTGAAAACGGCGCTGAACACCAGGGTTTAAGTCGTCTACTTTTCTACTTTCAAGACAGGTTCAACGGCCTTCTTGCCCTGATTATTTAGCTCCTGGACTGCAGCGCATGGCGACTTTACGCACATTTAAAGCTCATATATGCATATTGAGAGGAGAGGAATGATCAATTCCCAATTCGTCCAACCTCCTTATCCACGGGGGGGGGGGGGGGTGGAGAATTGCAGTCTCTATATTATTCCCTCTAATTAAGGAAGTAGAGACATTATTAATATATGCCAAGTCAGTCTAAACGTCCCTCACTGCATATCTAAGTGTTGACGACACTTTTGGAATAGTATCAACGATTAGAAATGTATTGGCATAAAGGCTTTCCTACATGTTGTTTCATGCTTTGGCAAGAAATATGAAAAGTACCTAATGATCAGCTAGATTGGGGGAGGGGGGGGGGAATTCATTTAAGTCTATCTGGAACCTTAAAACTTACCTTTTCTAAGATAAAATAGTGATGAATATATTTAAATTGAGCGTTAGAATGATAGCTCGCAATAAATAAATCATCCTCATTAGAGTAACATTCATGTTAAATGAACCTGTTGTGCAGGGCTACTATCCAGCTTCCTCCTTTGTTGCACGCTTAAGCTGTTTATGAATTTGCCATATTATCAAATTCCTGTTTCCTCTACTCTCTCCCCTCACTGTTGAGCCCTATGGAAGTGGATTTCGTAATGTTGGGGTGGCCAATAGCTTGGCTGGTTTTTATCAACTTCCATATTGATTATTTTCAAGCTTGAATCACCTCTGACAGGACTATAATAAACTGTACAAATGGAGATTATTGAAAGTTCTCAACCACTGTTAATGAAGAATCCCCAATTCATTCTCTGCGAATTCACATTCTGGTAAATGTTAAAGTTTTACCTGGGCAAATAGTTTGATTTTCTTATTTAGAAATGGGGAATTAGTCTGTATACGTCAAAGTCTTATGGTAATTGTAAATATTTGTTTACCCACTAGGAGTCGCCAAGAATAAGTGCGTATCTGAAGCAGTCTCCGATCTATGTCTCCACTTTGTTACTTCAGAAGTATTATTCCGTACGGTGGGAGGGAATGTTGTCTGTGTGTTAGGAAGAAGCTGAAATTCATGATTCATCAATTCGGTAGTTCCTCTCGAAGCGTTTGGAGGTTGTCTGATGGGATGTACAGTTAATTCATAGGAATCTACCTCCTCCCCCTGGTAGTGCTGAAGTGGTGTTCTCATATGTGGAGCTGAGCGAACACTGGAGGGTTTCCATCGCTCATCATTTTTTGCATAGGAGTAATTTGTATTTGATTGTGCTTGTTCAACGAATGAATCCTGTTGTAATTGTGAAAGTGGAGCAGTTTATGGTTATTGCGGCACACCATATGCAAATTGAAACAGCATTTACCTTTCCAGTGCTTTGATCCTTTGTGACCGTAGGTATATATCCATAAGGCTCCTTAATATATGCATGATAGTGACCATCGCAAGCAGCAGTACCCGCGTGAATGACAATTGAGAAGAGGTCATAAATGGTTGGCTGTTGGTGAATAAAATGGCAAATCCTTTAATTTGCTTCCTATAAGATTGATGCTAAGAGCATCTGATATGAACAGTTTCAAGACCCTCCTGAATACTATGCGACGATTAATCTTAAAATAATTCTTCTAAATATTCTATTTGTGCGAACTTGACGCTTTTGGTGAATTCCTCTGAGGGCAAAGTTACAGTCTAGCTCCCCTAAAAAGAGAGGCTTCAATATTAAGCCGTTATAAGATCTTTCTTCACCTTTTAATGAAATTTTGTCTGAGTAAATCGATTAAACGATAGGATAATAACTTATTTCCCTTTCCTAGAAGACATTTATCTTCAAGGGCCAAGGAACTTATATTTAGAAGTATTAGTGATAGAATAGTAAAATGTGTTGCTGACTCCTGCGTATTCAATCACTTGAGAAATATTTTGCGTCTCATTTTTTGAAGTGTTTTAACAACCAGAACTAAACTCTACGAATGCAGTCCTCAATCCTGGCATATTATGATTTACACTTTTGCTTTTGAGAGCAAATTTTAAATTCGACAAAATAAAAAGGATCATACTGGTGAATTTTCATTTAAACTGAGTCAAACTTCCCCTTCCCCTTTTCGCAAAATCCGCTTATCAGTTTTGTACAATGTACACACAAGTAACTTTACAAACAGGGGGTGCGCGATAGACTTACCTCCACGTGGTGCATCCTGGGCAACGTATACTCATACGGCAAAAATGTCTATTAACTCGCAGTTGACTTCTCACTTCAAACTACCATCACCCCACTGCATGTCATATTCGACTACTTCCACAATACTCAGCTCACCTTTGTTCTACCTTTGTGTTTGTCTCTTACATCTTTGAAATAGTCTTCTGTTCCTCCCCCCCCCTCTCGACTTTCTTTCACTTTAATGTTACTTCCCCTCTGTGAAGCCTGAAGTCAACTAAAGGGCTAATGATAACCATCAAGACGCCTGCCATTTGATATAAATAAATAAACTTTACAAACAGATTAATGCACCTTCCGACGTTTTCTTACCTCGTCTTGTTTGACTG